GCTTAACTAGAAAAGTCCTAATTTCACCATCATATTTGAAAGACTATTTTGCTGGACATATAATTCTTGGTTGGAAATTTTTTTCTTTCAGGATTTTATATATATCATTTATTGCCTTCTCACCTGCATGGTTTTTGCTGAAAAATCCGAGCTTGTCCTATTGGTTTCCCTTTGTAGGTAACTTCTTGTTTTTTTCCCATAGTGCTTTCAGGATTCTTTCTTTTCTTGTGTGAGTTTGGTGATGATAAGTCTTCGTGATTATATTTTGGCATGTATCCTGTTTGGGGTTCATTGAACTTCTTGAATGGATATAATCTTATCTTTCATCATATTAGAGAAATTCTCTTGTCACAAATCTTAGACAATTTTCTCTATGGTTTTATTTGTCTATTCCTGTTGTGAATTCCAACTAACCGTAGGTTATTCCTCCTGATGGTATCCTATGTGAATCTTAGGCTTTCTTCATTTTGTTTTGATCTTTCTACTGATTGATTCTTTAACAAAGTAGTATTGAGATATTTGTCTTCAGTCTCATAATTCTGTCTTCCATTGACTCGATTCTATGCTTTTGGCTATTCAGTGTGCTATTTCTGAAATAGTAGTATTAATCTTCTGGATTTCTATTTGTTATTTTTGTACTGATTCTAATTTTTTATTTTGTCAATTTGTTCTTGTATTGTTTTCCTAAATTGTTCCAGAGTTTTGTCACTGTTTTCCTTAATTTTGTCAGTGTTTTCCTTGATCTGTCTCTTAATCCACTGAAGGTACCCAAATATAATTCTATCGAATTCCTGATCAGAGAGTCCCAATGCTGCTTTTTCCTCAGGGATGTGTTCTGGGCTTGTATTCTGGTCCCTTGTTTCTACTACTTTATCTTGCTTCTTTGTGTGGATTGTGATGGTCTGTTGTCTCCAAGACATTGTGATGTTTTTGTGTTTACATTTAATTGGTGATTGTATGTTGTTGGAGTGACTTGCCCACAATTTTTGTTTTCTTTGTATGTTATCTATGTAAGCAGCCTTGATAGCTGCTATAAATTGCTTTGACTTACTTGGTGCCTAGTATCCATTCTTTCCCTCCAATTATTTCCATTTGTAATGGAAATGTCTACATTGTGCTTGTTCTTTGGAAATAGATAATTTGTGTTCTAGATTTCATGGGTTCACAGATGATGAGGAATTTTGTTCTGGGATGGAATATCCCTAAAATTGTCCCATATTTGATTTAAATGATTCAGAAGATGAAATTTTGGACTTGGAGATGAATTAAGACTTTTGGGATGATGAGATGGAGTTTCATGAATTCTGAGGGACCAGAGGACGGAGAGTTATAGGTTGAATTATGCCCCTAAAATATGTGCAGTAAATCCTTCCCTCTATGCCTGTGGTTATAATTTCATTTGGGAATGGGTTTTCTTTGTTATGTTAATGAGGAAGGATATAAAAGAGATTAAACAAATGAGCAGAGGAGAGATGGGGTAAGACAGATGACAAGACATATGGAGATCTCCAAGGAACCACAAAGCAGAAGCTAAAGACACAACGCTCCTCCTCCTAAGCCAACAGATAGAAAGCCTTCCCCTAGGGTTAATGCTCTGAATTTGGAATTCTAGCTTCCTAAACTTCAAGAAAAAAATTATTTGTTAAAGCTATTCTCTTGTAGTATTTCTGTTATAGGAGCACTAGATAAGTAAGACACCTTCCAAATGCAGAGTTGAGATATTGTCTTCTCCACTGCTTTTGATTTGTTGAAATTTCGCTATTGTAAAATATATCATTAATTCATTCCCAAAATATTTATTGAATGCTGTTCTGGTTACCTCATGCCACTCTGACAAGAATATACCACAAATGGGATGGCTTTAACAAACAGGAATCTATTCTTACAATTTGGAGGCTTTAAGTCCAAGTTCAAAGTGCCAGGCTCTAGGGGCTGGGTGAAAGCCCCTCAACCTTGGGGTCCACCTCTACCTCCTGCTCCTGGCCCGCCAGAGCTAGAGGTGTTTCTTCACTCAGACAGCTGCTGGCTGCTGAGGCTGAGAAGCCCCAAGGTTGACAAGGAAAAAGGCACAGTCCTGATGTTACCAAACCACACGGCAGGCCACTAACTTAAGTCCATTGTAAGTCCCAAGGTCGGCAGGGCATAGCAGCCTGCTGAGCAACGACAAGGCTACACGCAGGGCCAAGTGTGCCATAGGCTAGAGACCATTCCCAAGGCTTCTCCTTAAATACAGGAAGTAGACCACATCCCAAAGGCAGCTACTCAGCTGCTTGTGGTAGATCCCACCATGGAGTTGACTGCCAGTCTCATCATGGGGAATAACTACCACCAGCTGCCCAGCCACTCAACCAGGCCCAGCCAAGGTGACACACAAACATAACTACCACAAATGCCTACTAAGTGCCTATACTATTCTTGGTGCTTGGGCTATAGCAGTGACCAAAAACAGAAAAAAATCTCTACTCTTGTTGAGCTTACAGTTTGGCCAGAGGAGAGAGGCAATAGCAAGTAAACACAATGAAAGTGACATAGTCTGTTAGAAGGCTGTAGCCTGTGGAAAAAGAAATGTAACAAGGTAATGAGAAACAGGCTTGGGAAACAATGGGTGAAGAGCATTTTTAAATAGGTAAAGCATGCCCTTTTGAACAATTTAATTAATAATAACAAACATCATGTAGCTATCATCTAAGTTAACAATAAAGCATTATTGGTATCCCAGAATACCCCATGTATCCCACTTCCCTTGATATAATCAGTTTCATTTTTCAATAGCCATTTCTTAATATTCTTTGTTTTACAATCTACATATTCACCACATAATTTAGTTTTGTCTATTTAAAATTTTATAGTAATGCAATCATACTATAGGTACTCATTTGTGTTGTATTTCTTTCATTCAATATTATGTTTGTGAAATTCACCCACATTATTAATTTTCATTACTATTAAATATTCTTTAGTGAAGTTTCACCATTTATTTATGCTGATGAATATTGGGTTATTTCATTTGGGATGATTATGAACAATATTGATATGATCATTTCTTTTCATGATTTCTGATGCATATATGTAAGAGTTTCTTTGTCTGTAAGTATATATATCCAAGAAAGGAATGGGTTGTTAGCTATATAAATGTTCTATTTTACTAAAGGTGTGGGCCAATTTACAGCCCAGCAAAATGTAGAAAAGGTCCCACAGCTCCAAGTCTTTGCCAAATGCTCTGCAACAGACTTTTAAACTTTTGACCTTCTAGATAAAAAATTGGTAAAAAATATGTCTTCTTCCTCTGGCTACTTTTAAGATCTTTTCTTTGCCTTTGGTGTTCTTCAGTTTTACTACAATGTGTCTAAGTGTAGATTTCTTTTATTAATCCTCCTTGTTGTTCAGATTATAACAAGCATGTGTGCTTTAAGACTAAATTTACCATAGCCTTGCTTACTCTAAAATTGCTAGTCAATGAACATTCTATGATAAGGATTTAAACCACACAACATTAAATTCTTAGAAATCTAAGATAGTGATGGAAATCTCTGAAGGTATTTTAGAAGTCAATACAACTCTAGATGACATACGGCTAAATTAAATTATTCCCAGCACCAGAAGCCACAGAACATGCCCCAGAGTTCTGAATGTGGGTCTAATGCAGGCATTAAGTTTTCCCATAGCAATGGAGCCCTTTCTTCATATAGCATCATGCCTAAAAGCCTATATTTAAGAAAGCAAGGCCTCTGCTTCACAGAGGGGAGGAAGATCCTGGACTATGCACAGATATCAACTGACCTTAAACGGGTCAGCTACTTCCCATTTATAAATGGAAACAATCATGCTCTAGTGGGTATATTAGTCTTTCTTGAATTTAGTTAGAGGGAAGTGATCATCCCTGGGGAAGGCCCAGAATCCAAATCCAAGTAATTCAGCGATACTGCCTATGGCAGACCATACTGGAAACCAGATAACCCTTTAGGTAGCATCTTTATTTATATCATCTGAAAATCAAGACCAATAAGGCAATTTGGCTTCCAAAAATGTTAAATTTGTATTATTCAGCAATATTCATGAAATACAGGAAGAGGAACTATTCTTTACATTACGGACATATATTTGGGTATGAGAAATACTAAGATAAATTTTGTTCAATTTTTTTAAAATAAGTAATTTAGAACTATACTCTATAGTCCCTAAAATAAACCAACTCACAACAATACATTTACTTATATACATATACTGTTCACTCAATACCATGAATATTTACATATAGCCAACCATTGTTTAGCTTTTCTTTTCTTAGTTTAACATTACAACATATTAAATACCATCAATCTATTTCTCCACTATCAAGCCCCTTTAATTATTGTTCGACACACACATGAACTTGAGCCCAGAAGTCCTGGATCTTATCTCCATTATTGGATGTCATCCATCCATGCCCTCAAAGTACCTTCCCTTCCAAAATCCAGAGGTTCCCTGAACTACACCCAGGCCTCTAAGCCTGCTGCTTCTCTCTCTGTCTCTACCCAATAAAAACTACTTTGACTAGTGGGGCTGTGGATGCATTCTGGAAGTCTGCTGTCTACAAGAAGAATGGAGGTCATGTAGGATGATAGGCCAAGGAGGAGAGCAACTACAATGAGAACTGTTTTCTTTAGGCAGAGAAATTGGAAAGTGAAGTCATGATTAAGCCAAGAGAAGAGCAGGTCAATGCTGTTCTCCAGCTGAACAAATAAATACTGGGCTTGACAATATAGCCTGGAGATATTTCCATATAGATATTATTATTATTATTTACAACAGCACTGATATTTGTTGTGGTAATTACTTGCAGTTTATTAAATGAGTTGAGAGTTGCTATTTCTGCCAATGAAACTTTATACTGCTTTGTTTTATAGATGATTAGTGACCTCTTCATGCAAAATGTGTCTTTAAAACAGAACTCTTGCACCCAGTACATCTTCTTTCCCATTTGAAAATGCAATCTCTGATGCTAAATAATGACTACTTACCTTGACTTTTTCCTCTAATTTCCCCAAGCGAATACTGTCTTCTATTAGTTTGTTGAGAACTGTATGCTTCTCATTTTCTAAACACTTAGCCTAAGTAGAAAGGCAAAAAGAAAAATAATGCACTCTGTTTTACAGAAAAATTAAAATAATAAAAATTCTTCTTCAAAGATTACTATTACTCACAAATTATCTCTACCCTGTCACTTGTCTTGGCCCACCCATCCCCTCCCACCTTGATTCCTTGTGTAAGGACACAGTCACAACCACACCTGAGGAGGGGCAAGAGTAGGGAACAGCACAATGGATGCCTCACCTGAGCACAAATGGAAGACATAGTCCCATTGTCAAGGGGAAAGTGAAAGACTATTAGGGTTTCCAGAACACTTCTGTGGTAGTTAATGTTGTGTGTCAACCTGGTGAGGCCTGGTTGAATGGCTGGGCAGCTGAATCTAGTTATTCTCCATGATGAGACTGGCAATCAACTCCACGGTGGGATCAATATCGCAAGCAGCTAAGTAGCTGCTTTAGGGATGTGGTCTGCTTCCCATATACAAGCAGCAGCTTTGGTAATGGTCTCTAGCTTATGGAATGCTTGAACCCTGCAAGTGGCCAAGTCATTGTTCAGTAGCCTGCCATGCTCTGCCAACCTTGGGACTTTCAACGGACTTGAATGAATGGCCTGCTGTGTGGTTTGGTAATATCGGGACTGTGGCTTGTTACTTGTTGACCTTGGGTTTGTCAGCCTCAGCAGGCAGTAGCTGAGTAAAGAAAAGCCTTCAGCTTCAGTGGGCCAGGAGCAGGAGGAGGCAGAGCTGAAGCCCAAGGTTGAGGGGCTTTTACCCACCCTCTATATCTTGGCACTTTGAACTCAGACTTAAAGCCTCTAAATTTTAAGAATAAACTCATGTTCGTTAAAGCCATCCCATTTGTGGTATATTCTTGTTAGAGCTCCACTAGGTAACCAAAACAACATCCCTATTTTTATAGGATAAATAATTCCTTCAATCACATCTAAGAAATAAGGGTCAAGATGCAAACAAACTTTTTAACTTGATAATTTGCATGATTACAAAGTTAAAGATAACTAAATATGAAATATATTAATGCATAATGCCATTTTCTATACCAAATGTAATAGGCAGTATGTCCAAGAGGGATGTCATTTGAAGCTGAGTAATATCCAGATGGAAAATAAACTATTAGACATTGTAAATTATCTATTCCAAATGCTAAAGTTATAGGAAAAAAAAAAAAAAAAAAAAGATGAGCATTCCTACTATGTTAGGTGACAGTTTTAATAGTCCAAGCAAGAAACATGAAAGAGAGTTAAATGATTTGCCACAAATCATAAGGAAACTGCATACTAGATACAGGATTAGAAATTAAGATGTCAGTATCTTTAGCAACTAGAGAGAGAAGAGCAAGCTAAGTTCTGGCTACTCACTGCTGACGAGTCAATTTGATTCATAGTGACCAATGAAGGATACGACATATAATAATAATAAATCATATCCCTTGGGTTTCCAAGGCGGTATCTCTATGAAAGTAGAATACCCAATCTTCCTTCCAAGGAGTGGCTGGTGGGTTTGAACCACCAGCCTTCTGGTTAGCAGTCAGATGCCTTAGGCACTATGCCACCAGAGACTAAATAACAAAGATCAGAGCAGAAATCAAATAATAATAATCATAGAGAGAACCTATAAAACCAGAAGTTGGTTCTTTGAAATCATTAATAAAATTGAAAAACCTTTAGTTAGACTGACAAAGATACAAATAACCAAAATAAAAGAATAAAGAGGTGCCATGACAACTGACCTGATAGAAATAAAGACAAGTATAACAGAGTATTATGATTAACTATACAGCAACAAACTACATAACCTAGATCAAATGGAAAAAATTCTTAGAGGCACACAACCTACCTAAACTGACTCAAGAGGAAAGAGGAAGCACAACAGACATATAACAAGTAAAAAAGATCAGTGATCAAAAACATTCCAACAAAAAGAAAGTCCTGGACCAGATGGCTGCACTGGGAATTCTACCAAACAGAAGAATTGACACCAATACTGTTTAAACATGTCCAAGAGACAGAGAAGGAAAGAATCCTACTCAATTCACTCTATGAAGCAAACATAATCCTGATACACAAACCAGAAAAAGATACCGCAAGAAAAGAAACCACAGGCCAATATCTCTCATGAATATAGATGCAAAAATCCTCAACAAAACAGAATCCAACTACATATTTAAAGAGACATAAACCACGGCCAACTGGGATTTATTCCAGGAATGTAGGGATGGTTCAACATCACACAATCAATCAATGTACGCCCCACATCAATAACAAAGGAAAATAACTGTGATCATCTCTATGGAAGCAGAAAAAGCATTATCAAAATCCAACATCTTTTTGATACAAATCCTAAAGAAGATTGGAATAGAAGGGAAATTCTTCAACATGATTCAGGGCATATACAAAAAAGCAATGGCCAACATTATACTTAATGGAGAAAGATAGACTTTTCCCTTTGAAATCAGGAATTAGACAAGGGTGCCCGCTCCCACTACTTCTATTCAATATTGTATTAGAAGTCCTCCCCAGAGCAATAAGACAAGAAAAAGAACCAAAAGGTATCCAGATTGTAAAAGAAGAAGTAAAATTATCTCTATTCACTGATGATATGGTCCTCAAGAAAATTTCTAGAGATAATAGAGGAATTCAGCAAAGTTGCAAGATTCAAGGTCAACAAACTAAAATCAGTTGAGTTTCTATCACCAGCAATGAGAAATCTCAAAGGGAAAGTAGGGAAACTATTCTATTTACAACAGTATCTAAGTGAATAAACTACCAGGAATAAATCTAACCAGGGATGTGAAGGACTTATATAATGAAAACTATAAAACACAGCTGAAAGAGATGAAAGAAGATTTTAAAAATGGAAATGTGTACAATGTTCATGAAATGGAAGACTCAGTATTGTTAAGATGTCAATACTACCCAAAGTGATCTATAGATTCAACACAATCCAGATCAAAATTCCAACAGCCTTCTTTATAGAAACAGAAAAAACAATCCTTGACTTTATATGGAAAGGCAAAGGCCCTGAATAGCTAAAATAATGCTGAAAGAGAAGGATAAAGTCAGATTCACACTTCCTGACATTAAAACATATTATATAACCACAGTAATCAAAACAGCTTGGTAATACTATAACAAAAGACACATAGACCAATGGAATAGAATTGAGGGTCCAGAAGTAAACCCACACATCTATGGCCAACTGATTCTTGACAAGGGTACTAAGTACATTTGTTGGGGAAAGAAGAGTCTCTTCAATAAGCGGTACTGGGAAAACTGGATTCCCACATGCAGAAAAATGAAACAGGATCCTTGCCTCACACTATACACTAAAATAAATTCAAAATGGTTAAGGACCTGAATGTTCAAACTGAAACCACAAAATTCTTAGAACAAGCATGGGCAATGCTGGCAGGCCTAGCTTTCAACAATGCATTATTAAATAAAATTACAAAAGCTCAAACATCCAAAGACAAAATAAATAACTGGGACCTCATAAATATTAAAAATTTTTGTTCATCAAAAGACTTTACCAAAAAAATGAAAAGATAAACTACTAACTGGGAGAATATATTTGGAAACACATATCCAACAAGAATCTAATACCAATCCACATATAAAATTTCAGCAACTTAAGAACAAAATGACAAATAACTCAATCATAAAATGGACAAAGGACTTGAATAGATATTTCACCAAAGAGGTCACTGAAATGGCCACCAAACACATGAAAAGATGCTCACTGTTATTAAGCTGTCAGAAAGATGTGAATCAAAACCACAATGAGATATCATTTCACTTCCTCTCAGGATGACTAAAATTTTTTAAAAATAGAAAATAACAAATGTTGGTGAGGATGTGGGGAAATCAGAACCTTTATCCATTGCTGGTGAGAATGCATAATGGTATGTTGTTGTTATGTGCCGTCGAGTCGGCCCCGACTCATAGCGACCCCTCCTTGGGTTTCCGAGGCAGTATCACTACGGAAGTAAGATTGCCCAACCTTCCTTCCGAGGAGTGGCTGGTGGGTTTGAACCGCCAGCCTTCTGGTTAGCAGTCAAGTGCCTTAGCCACTATGCTACCAGAGCTCCCGCATAATGGTATAGCAATTGCAAAAAACACTGTGACAGTTTCTCAAAAAACTAAAATTATGACCCAGCAATTCCACGCTTAATTATCTACCCAAAAGTTTGAAAGCAGAGACTCAGAAACTTGTATACTAGTGTCCACTACAGCACTATTCATAATAGTGAAGAGGTGAAACAAGCTAAATGCCCATCTATAGATGAATGATAAACAAAGCATGGTACATACATACAATGGAATACTACCATGTAGCCAGTAGGAGAAATGAGTCTTGATATGTGCTTGATACATGGATGGAGCTTGAAAACATTATGATGACCAAAATAAGCCCATCACAAAATGATAAATATTTTATGACCTCACTTACATAAAAAGACAAGAAAAGGCAAATGTATAGAGACCAAAGTTTAACAGTGGTTACCAAGTACGGGAGGGAGGGTGAAAAGGGGAGTTAACAGTGATGGGTTGCACAGCCAATTATCGACATTGCTCTTAATAAGCTGTTGTTGTTGTTGTTACGTGCTGTCGAGTTGGCCCTGACTCATAGTGACCCCTCCTTGGGTTTCCAAGGCGGTATCACTACGGAAATAGATTGCCCCATCTTCCTTCCTATATACCTATAAAAGAGTTGAACTGGCAAAAGTTGTGTGATAGATATATTTATAACAATGACAAACAGAGTAGCTGTTGAAGCTGTTTATGTACAACCAAACACCTCATGGGGTTTGGTGACTGGTTTGGAGGTTTAGGATCATGGTTTCATGGGACATTCCAGTTAACTGACCTAATGTTTAGTGCTTTAGTTCTACTTCTTAGCTCACTGTATAGTGCCTGGAGTCTTAAAAATTTGTAAGCAGCCATCAAAGGCACAATTGGTCTCTATTCACCTAGAGGAACAGGAAGACGGGAGTCAGAAATATGAGGATATGGAATATGTGGCTAATTGCCTCCATGAACAACTGCCTCCTTTGCCATGAGACCAGACAAACTGGATGGTGCCCAGGTACCTACCATTACTGAACATTTTGATCAAAGATTCCACAGAAGAATCTTGATCAAAAAATGAAAAATGTGGAATGGAATTTCAAATTCTCAGATTCTAGACTTTCTGGAGCCATGCACAGTGGATGAACCCCTGAAACTAGTTGCGCTGAGATAATCTTTAAACCTTAAACCAAAAATATCCCCTGAAGTCATCTTAAAACCAAAAAACAGTTTAGCTTAAATAGTAAAAGATGTCTGACTTGAGCACTATGCTCTTTTAGGAAATATCTATACAGGATCAAATTGACAACAGCAACTCAAAAGATTAGACAGGAACCTTAGGGGGCAGTGAGTATACATTAATGAGGGAGGAACAACTCAGAAAAGAAGGATGAGAATGTTTGCACAACTCAGAGAATGTAATCAGTGTCACTAAATTGTGTATGTAGAAACTGTTGAATTGGTGTGTTTTGCTGTGTATATTCACAGCAACAACAAAAAAATAAATACAATTTAGGAAAAAAAAAAAAGATGTCAATGTCTAAGGCTATGGTATCTTCTACAGAAATGGGATTAAGTAAAAGATGGTGAACTAGTATTTGGGGAATTTTTAAAGTTATTTGTGGCCATAGGTTCAAATGCCATCAGCTGCTCAGCAGGAGAAAAAACTTGGTGATCTGCTCCCACAAAGATTATAGCTTTGGAAACTGTATGGGGCAGTTTTACTCTGTCCTAAAGGATCACTATGAGTTGGAATCAATTCGATAGCAATGAACAACAACAAAGTTATTTGTAGCCATGAGTAATCAGTGAAAATTTCCCATGGTTGAATCCTATCAGAAGCAGCCAATACCACCCTGGACAGAGGCTACCCCAGCTGTGGTGATCCCTCGGGTAAACAGCTTACAAAGCCAAGGGGACATGTCTAGCCTGGTCCAGGTCCACAGTGCCCTGCCCAGATGTCCTGGCAGCTCTCTGAATGGTGTGTGGTAATAAAACACTTTAAAAACAAACAAACAAGCAAACAAATTAAAACCAATTTGGCCTTTTTCCTTGATACCTGAGTAATAACCCTTGCAATTTCCTAAGTAACCGAGGTACCCTATTGTCTAAATAAGGCATTTGGTTGCTAACCAAAAGGTTGGTGGTTCAAACCATGAACAGCTCTGAGGTGATAGATGAGGTAGTTTGCTTCTGCAAAGGTTTATAGCCTTGGAAACCCTTTGAGACAGTTCTACACTGTCCTATAGAATCGCTATGAATTAGAATTGACTCAATGGCAGTGTTTTTTTTTTTTTTCTTCTTCTTCTTCTATTTTGGGTTAGTACCTAAAACATGCAGACAACACCTAAATATCTGTGGTAATGATCTGCAGTAGATCACCAGGTCTTTTCTCCCACTAAGTGGCTGGTGGGTTCAAACCTATGACCACAAATAACTTTAAAAATTCCCCAAATACTAGTTCACCATCTTTCACTACATAAAGATCACCTAGTAGGTCACCTGGTAGCAATTACCATCAGCAGGCGTGGCTTAACCTATTTACCACGCATATGCAATGAGGCCTCAATCATGAGGTTGTTGTGTTGTTGTTGTTATGTGCCGTCGAGTCAGCCCTGACTCATAGCGACCCCTCCTTGGGTTTCCGAGGCAGTATCACTATGGAAGTAGGATTGCCCAACCTTCCTTCCGAGGAGTGGCTGGTGGGTTTGAACCGCCAGCCTTCTGGTTAGCAGTCAAGTGCCTTAGCCACTATGCTACCAGAGTGATGATAAATTCCAATAAAGGCTCTGAACACAGAGGCTCTTGGCAAACGGACAGTGATGTGCCCTCTTTGGGATATGAAAGCTCCATGTTGGGAACTCTCCCAGACCTGGCACATGTGTCTCTTCCTTACGATGATCCTGATTTGTATACTTTTTCTATAATAAATTTGTCATCAGTAATTTCTGTGAGTTCTGTGAGTTGTTCCAGCAAAGGTGTAGTGGGACCCAGCAGGTGACAGTGATGGAGCTCAGGGGTGGCTGAGCTTGAGGCTGGCATCCTGAAGGGGAGTGGGAGAACCCCAAATTTGTGGCCAGCAGGTAAAAGTAAGGGCATCACGTGGACTCCTGAGTTTGTGGCTGTCATCTCCCTATTTGGCAGTATGAAGGACAGTGTCTTTTTAGCTTGTGAGCTCTGAACCAGTTCCAGACAGCAAGGGCAAAGAGAGAAAGAACATGTGAGCAAGCTGTGTGGGCAGCTGGTGTCAGAAATTACTGAGAAGTAGGAAAGCAGGGATTTGATTAATCTTCACATTTTGGGGATTGGAATTATGTTGATTCTTATCCACGAATATGGACAGTGGTTGGGGATGACAGAAGTGAGGTAAAGGTAGCTCCCCTCATGCCATACATTTCAACTGTGATTCTGAGAGGTCTGAGAATTTGGAACTGGAGTTTGACTTTGGGCCATTATGCAGGTCAAGGCAGAAGAATAAACCACATTTTATTAACACTCTGATGGTTTGATTTTTAACTTTTAAATATTTGGTTACACAGTATGTGTGCCTCCATTTTTATTTCCACTGTGGACCCATGAATACAAGTCCAAGGAGGGTCTGCACTTCATCACTGAAGCCTGTGATGCTCTCCAGCTCACACAGGAGGCTCAGGTCCTTCATCCAAGGTTGGGGAAACCTGTGTTCCTGGCACAAAATAGCTTTGTATTTACAGTGGCACTAATACATGGTTGGGTGGGTCCCCAAGAACGTTTGCCTGATAAATGGGTTTGTTTAGTACTTTACATTTTTCAAAAAGCTTTTGCTTTATCTTCTCAGTGTCCCTGTGGATAAGCCTATGAGACGCAACAGAGGAGGAAATGAACACTCAGCACTGCTACAGAAAATGTCAGTGACCTGAAAGACTTTAACATTTTCATCAGGAACAGTAAGTTTTCAGGAAGAGTGCTGTTAGGTTAGAAGGTCTGAATGCTTTTAAGGCCCCTAACTTGCTGTGTCAAATTGCTTTCTAGAAGACTCAAGGAAAGACTTAGAAACCACCAGTAGTATGTGACTAGGCTTACCACATTCCTATCGGCAATTATTATAATTTCTAAAAAATGTCTGTAACACAATGTAAGTACAAGGCTGGCTGGTTTAGTTTACATTTCTTTAATTATAGATAAAGATGAACATTTTCCCCCAAGAACTATGTACTATTTTTATTTCCTCTCATATAATCAAGAGTAAAATCCTCTGTCCACTTTTCTATGAAAGAATTTAGTTATCTTTTTAATTAATAGGAAAAAGCCTGTGACTATCCTGACAGAGTCCATGCACCTTGTTCACCCCAAAGAAGGGCCAAGTTACTTCCAAGTTTGTTAGCTTCTTAGATAGACTCTCTTAGAAAGCCTACTGGTTTCTTCTGTAATGATATCCATTAAACTATTATTTCTAATCTATTATTATCAGAAATTTGCAACCTTGTTTAAATAAGCATGTTTAAATATACATAAGCAATATGTTTTCAATGTAGAAAAAATAAATAAAAAGATTATTTAAAAATTAGCTCTAATCTACCACTTAAAGAACTCCATGCTAATATTTTGGAGTAAATCCTATCAGATCTTTTTCAATGCATATAAATGTGTATCCATGTACCTATGCACTGTTTTGATCATCTGTCTTCTTTCACCCCACAATATGCTGTGTATGTATATGTATACATGTCTAGAATGAGGTCAACAGCATCAGTCTTGATGGCTGCGCAGTATGTTATCACCTAGGTCTACCAATAAGTATTCAATAAATTCCCTACTTTGGGATTGGTGCTATTATAAATAATGCTAGAATGAATATTACTACAGCTACATCTTTGTGCCCTTTAATTAATTTATTTATTTTTAAATTGAGATTTGGGTCAAAGTTTACAGAGCAAATTCACTTTCCATACAGCAGTTCACACACACTTTATCTCATGACATTGACTACAATTTGCCACAATGCAACAGCTCCCCTCCCATTTCTTCCCCCTAGTTACCTCTTCCCTGTGTCCATCCTTCCATTAAAGTATTTCTTTAGGATGAACCTATTTAATCTCTTTATAATACTTATGTTTGATTTCAAATAGGGAAAATACTAGCTTCCCAGAAAAAATATAAAGATATTTGTAAGTATGATACACACCTTGATGACTACTGTTTCTACTTAATTAAATAAACCAAATTTCATCATTTTATCGATTAAAATACCATTTGCATTATTTTAAAAGTTTGAGTTATTCACCAATCATAAGTGTTTTTTCCCCATGATTAAAAGAAAATTTTAGATCATTTGCACATTTGTAATTGAAATTTAAAAGGATGAAGCTTTTGTGGATTAATTTTTTAAAAAATATTCTTAAGATGATAATGTTTAACACACAGTTTACTTAAAGAAACTTTGAGAAAACTTACCAAACACCTGAGATTGTCACGTTCCTGTGTTATATTCTCTGCAAGTCCAACAAGATTTGCCAAGTATTGGTGAGCAGACATCTCCTTTTTCATGGCTTTTTCCAGTTGCTTTTTAAGGACATCAATTTTCTTCTGCGATCTCCTAAAGAATTCCCCCAAATGGTGGAATAAAAACTCATTAGCCTCAAAGGCTAGGGCATAATGAATATCTATATTATGAAAATATCAAGTATGCTACCATTTAAATGTTATTCTTCAGCAACCTAAATCTTCTATTAAGTGAAAGTGAGGAGGGATAACTGAATTTAATTTTAAACCAGGCATAATTATTGACTCCAAATCAAGCCAACATGATTCACACATGCTTAACCAATTAATAGGGTAATTATAGTCTATTAATTTTCTGGGTCATGTTCCAAAAGTTACTCCTGAAAAACAGATCCTGTAATCCCAAAGCAGATTTCTGGGAAATGTTTAGGAAAGTACTTTTAGAACTTTTGGAGTCTTAGGGTCATCATCATGACTATCAATAATCTTTACACTATAGACGTGAAAAATATTGGTCAACAGAAAAACTTTCACTATAGTTTTATTTTGCTATTTAATAATCTCAATCACCCATTTCCATTTTAGAGCACTATTAGAAAAATAAAAGATAAAGGAAATGGAATAGGATATTCTCCAGTTGTCTTTTTTACAAAGTATATTTCAAAAATAAGCTTAAGGAAAAAAATAATGAACCTATTTATTTTCTGTGCAACTTCAAGTTCAGCTTCCAGTGCTTTGTTTCTAACTGTCAAATTTTTCTTCTCTAACAGCAGGCTCTTTTTCTCTACTTGCAGGACTGTCAGCTTTTCCATCAACTCTTCTATCTCAGCACTTCCTTTCTCCTCTTCCTTCTGTAACTGGCTGAAGGAAAAAAACATCACAAGGCACATATCCAGTTCACAGAGGCTTACATAAGGCATCACTGCCAGAGAAATGATAAAATATCCTAGTCCTTGGCCTTGCATGGACCAAGGCCTGTGTGGAAATCTCTCCCCACCTGAGATCGAGCTCCTGGATGGTAGGAAAGAGTGTGTTGCATCTTCTTTGATAGGATCTGCCCATTAAACCCTTCTTTTGCCTACAATATTTGCTTGTGTTTGTGCATATAGATTTTGTTGCTGTTGTGAGGTGCCATTGAGTTAGCTCCAACTCACAGCAACCGTAAGTACTTCCAGAAAGAATTTAAGACAGCTCATTTTCTATAACTGTCAAAAAAAATCCTAATGCTAAATAAAACAAATTTTGTTTCATATTAATATATGTTTTTCTGATAAAAGAACTCATCCCACTCCACTCCCCAAAACAAGAGGGGGTAAATAATTTCAATATATAATTCTAGGAAAACAAGTTATCTCTTCAGTGGTTCTCTCAGTCAATAACTAGGACTGAGTAGGCAGGACCACAGACACAGAGATTGCCCAACATTCTAAGAGATGTGGTCTCTCTGGGTACAATGTGAGGTTTACTCTATGGCTTGCTGGCTGGCTGCCAACAAGTCTCAGGTTGCATGGGTTTAAGGTCCACCTCACTTCTCTCATCCCAATGAGCTCAAACTACAATGGCTCTCTGAATACTGTCAGTAATTTTCTAGGTACTTTCCATTGCTTTCTAGTTCGCTGTAAGCCTTATCAGTTCTAGTTAGTTAGAACAGAGGACACCTGTAGACAAAAATCACAGAATGGAAGCTTGAATTAAATTCATCTTTGTCTTTTCTCTTCCTTGTGTTTTGTTTACATTTTAGAATTTTATATAAAATTATTTTTGCAAAAATAATAAACAGGCCTGGTACCAAATCAACCAGTATAGAAAAGTTCACAATGAAAAGCAAACAAACACTATAGGATATTGGGAAAGTGTTGGTAAGAGGGCACAGCCATCTCAGAGAGCAGTATCAAAATCAATAAAATGCATTTACTCTGTTGCTCAATAATGCCACTTTGAGGGAAATTTCTAGAGTATTCTAGGGAAACTTCTGCAGATTTGCAAAAGATGACACATATAAGAAAGCCTCCAACACTGATGATAGGAATAAACTTTAAAACTTTAAACTTCAAACAAGTTATCTCGTTAAGTTTAAAGTTTAAACTTCCATCAAAAGATTGAGTAAAATATAATATTTCAAATGACAGGCTACCACCATGCAGCAGTTAAAAAGAACAAAACAAGTATCTATCACAACATGGAAAGATGTTTTGAAAAAGAGTGAAAAAAAAATCAAGATGTGCAATATATATAAAGTATGAATTCATTTACATAAAGATAAAATATACCAAAAGAATACTGTTATTCCTGTAAACTACCACTCGTCTGTCAGTTTGTCATACTGTGCTTGTGTGCATGTGGCTATGAGGCTTGGAGGTTATGACACTGGTATTTCAAATACCTGCAAGGAAATCCATAGTGGACAGGTTTCAGTGGAGCTTCCAGACTAAGAAAGACTGGGAAAAAAGATGGGGCCATCTACTGCAAAAAAATTGGCCAGTGAAAACCTTATGAAGAGCCCTGAAACTCTGTCTGATACTGTGCCAGAAGAT